ACTAACTTTTCAATTTTCCAAACCCTATGTATTTCAACAGTCTTTTATGACCCTTTGCTGCCAAAGACAACATCATAACATACTTCAAAGCTAGCTCCTTATATACCCTGTCTTTATCAATTTCATTCAGTTCCTCATTCCTTTACATTAGGAAAGAAATTCATTATTAATAATATCATTTCTACTGATTTCTACCATCTTAATTTTTGTAAACATACTTAGCATTCCCCAAACATTGCATTATTATAGTTTCAGGAATTACAATGGCCTCAAAAGGCGTTTTTAAGGATTTACTAAGGACATAAATAGCCTTTTGGACAAGTGGGTACACTTGAATGCTAACTACCGTGGGTATTCTTACAAAATGGCTGCTATGTGAGTTTCTTGGTTCACAAGGAGTGACCAAGGAAGGTGCCCTGGCCCTCAAATGCTCATTTTTGGGGGAAGGCAAACTGGTGAAACTGCTGCCAACTACTTTTCCTAGTCCCCAAGGATGCAAATTATTTTTTAAAACGATGCTTTAGGCTGCAGCCACCCTCCATTTCAAATTTCTAAGGGAGCCTTGAGACATCCTTTGAAGTAAATATCAAGTTAGAGATTCATGTTTTGCTCTGCAAAATGCAGCTGAGACAGGGGAATAGGCAGGCACTAGGGGATGAGTCAGTAGCCATCTTGGTATTAATGGGCATTAGGCTGCCTCCCACAGTTATGAGCCTCATCAACTAAGCCCATAACCTCATATTTCATTTAGTGGTTTTTTTTAATTGTAATACCTGTGATTTCGGAAGAGAAAACTGCAATTCCATTTAAAATATAAGTGACAACAGAGATGTAATTTAACCAGTATAGTCTTCCTAGTAAACTGTTAATTAGTATTCATGCTGATGAAAACAAGAATGTTCATTATGATTAAAAATAGCAATAATCAACAGGGGCACCCAACTCAAGGACTAAATTCCTCATCCAGCAGATCCCTGGAAACCAAACCACAACTTTCTCGTCCAGGTATTTATCCATCTGAATCACACAATCATTGCTCCTTTCATGAATGCCTTTTTGTTTTTTACATTTTTAATGACCAAGCATAATATCTAAACATAAAGCTACCTTCCATTACAAAAATAAACCAGAAACAAAGCCCTAAACAATTAAAAATAGGGGGGGAAACCCTACCAAATGTATTGACACCTGTTAGTTGAGGAGGAAGATATGGGGATAAGGCAAGAAGAATATGGTGACATGATACCATAGTCTTGAAGCTAGCTTAATGTTTTCTTTGAAATGGTTAATAGCTGTTCCAGACTGAAGACCTCTAAAAGTTAAGGCTTTATTTCTGTTGCCTCTCATTTACTGCACATTATCTTTTTAAGTGTGCTAAAATCAAGATGCTAACTGATTGCAGAATTATATGTTAAGTTATGCAATAAGTAGTTCTATTTTCAATCTGAACAGAACATGGAGCCACTCACTCCACTTCAATAGCATTTAGAAATAAAACAAACCTGAACACCAATTTAAACCCTCCACACTGTCAATTCAAAGGTTTCACTGAAGCTGTTTTGGAGAAGAGAATGAAGGTACATATTTCTGCTACTGTTTGTATTGTTTTATTGGTTTTCATAACCACTTAAGAAGTT